GTTGGGTTCAGATTCTTTTCTTTTTGTAGGTTGTTTCAGTTTTGTTGCTTCAGAGTCTTCTTTTTTTGTAGGTCAGTTTTGGATTTATTTTGTTGTTTTGGTTTCTTTTTCATCAGATGCTTCATAATTCTTTTCATTTATGTAGGTCAGACATTCTGGAGTTCTCTTTCTTTTTTTGTAGGAATACTGACCTTTGGTGACTTGGATGATTGCAGATACTATATGAAGGGGGGTTTTGTTTCCAATTAAGTTAGACGTTCTTTTTTGTTTTTTTTAGGTTGTTTGACTCCAAATGATCCTGAACTTATAGATAATTTTGGTTGCAATAGGTGGCCTTAATAAGGAGGGAATTTTCATAATGTATTTGTATTTTGTTTATTTTTTATTTTTTATTTAATTTAATAAAGTAAAATTAGATTTATATAAATATAATTATAGTAAACTGTAATACAAATAGTAAATTCAGTGACCAAATCGTATAAATTTCGTGATAAAATCAGTGATCAAATCATGTAAATTCCATATGAATTCCGTGCAAATTCCGTATCCAAACCATATTTTTAGTGATACGGAATTGTGCATTTTTCCGTATCCTATTATCATACGTTATTTCTAAGGAAAAAAAATCGTATAAAAACTTTATAAAAAACGTATCCAATTTTTTTATAGGGATGACGACGTTCAAAAGTTCTTTATGCAATGATTGATCTATTAGTTTATCTTTCAATTCGTTTCTTTATAACAATAAATCCATTTGACTTCGCATATTGGATAAAAAAATGTCCTACAAGATCATAATTAACCAACTTCAGGCGAAATTGGATTCAGATCAATTTCTGTTTCTTCTTCCCAGTTCCGTACCCAAGGTTATCTATAGTTAAAAAATCTAGAAAGATGTCAAAACTGATGTTAAAAAAAAACAAAAAATATTACTGAGAGATCATTCAAATAATTTTATTATTATAACTAGTACCAATACAGTACAGCAGTATTCATCGTAAAAAATAAGAGATATTCAAGAATACAAAATATCGGGACATGTGATACCAAAAACTTTTCGCCTGCTGCGGTACTGAGATTTTTTTAAAAAATATATATTAAAAATAACATTTACTTTTAAAAATTATTATTAGTATTTTGAAATTTTTGAGTAAAAATAAAACTATGACTGGTTATATAATTTTCTCATATGTAATGATCGGATTTGGAGTAATAATTCTCCGACACCTAATTATTACTTTTACTTTTTCAAGTGTTTTTGCAGTAATGATAACATTATATAATATTGCTTTGTAGTAGATGATCTAACTAATAGGAACGATCGATAATATTGAAACTTTTTTTTTAGCTTACCTATTTAATTAAATAATTTGATTAAGAGTTTTTTTAAGACCTCGATAAACCGATATTAGATATTTGATATACCGATATATATATTAAATTTTACTCTCCCACCATATATATATATATATTTTTTTTTTTTAAAAAAAAAAAAATACATAGAGGTGACGTCAGACAACGAAAACCCTATAGCTAACCAGTCTATCTACCATAAATAAAAATATAACTAAACTAAAAAAACACCAGGCTGCCACCTAAAAAAAAACATAAACTAAAAAATCTGAACATCTAAAATGTGTGAAACCGATTTACCCACCCTCTGCTCTCGTCAACTATCTTGGCACTTCACAACTTTTTGGTGCAATGGTACGCTCATACCTACCGTGGGTCTCCTACAAAAACCTAGTAGAGACTAAGGAAATCGTTGGCCAAACCTAAATATTACTTTGCCACTATATGAGAGTAAATATCGGTATAATTTGATATATCGGAATTTTCAAATGATCTTCATAACATATCGGAGTTTAGCTCCGTGTCCTCCGTGTCAAACATTTTTATTATGGGAACTATGGAAACACGACAAAAAAGTTACGCGACTGATTGATCGGTAACTATGTTGATTATTGTGATTGATTTAGGGCGTAGTGCAGTAATAAAGTTTGTACAACAAAAAAATATATAAAAAGACCTTACCTCCTTTTTTTTTATTATCCTAAATTTCTCTAATATATATCCGAACCAACTACTTCAACTACTTGAGATGACCCATATTCTGCCCAAATACTTTCGCCCAGGCGGCCAGGACCACTATGATAGAGGTAGAAAATGTGTGAAAGGAACCGCTCCTATTTCTGATGCTTTACTACACATTAGGCACTTGAATATACGAGGTCTTTTATCTCCTACTAAAAAAAAATCCCTCTCAAATTATTTTTAAACAAAAACTTCACCTTTTGTTTCCCACTGAAAACAAACTTTCGCACAAAACTCCTCCATATCTTCAAAGCGAAACATACATTAAGAGGTAAGTAAAAATAACAGTTTGCCGGATGGACGTACGAGTACCTGTTCACCGCAGGAGGGTTCACTGAAAGTATTCCGGATGGTGGGCTGTTATGATTGACATAGAGGTTTATGTGCTCGTAGTACGTACCATTTGCTACTGGCTACGTAGTCATCTGCTTTGTGCACAAGTCGTAGCTACAATGATGCCACATAGGTGATCCCCAAGCCGATCCATATGGGAGGGCAGGCCGTGGTGCCCGTGGAAGTGACACATATTTCTATGTCAACTCACTTAGTTGTTGTTATTGATACTATATGAGACCATTTGCCATAGATCCTATGATGGCCACATAGGTGTCCTGGGGTTCCCTGCTTAGGCATAATTAACAGGATGGTAAACCCCATATGGTATGAGGTGATAAGTTACTAAAAAAATTTCGTGAATTTTATAGGGTATGCTGGACATGACCAAATCGTCTTGAAAATAGTTAATTACCTCCCTTACTAGCTTTCTTATGCAATTATGGCACATTGTATTATTCCGCCTTTCTAAAGCAAGCAGAAGTTCTACCTACGCTCGAAAAGGATAATTGAATGTTAATTATCATGATTTATTAGTATTATAAGGGAGTATTAGACTTGACTTTAATTTTCTAATTTTTTAATTATTTTTTTTTTATTTTGGAAATCTGATTTTCGCTCTTTCTTAGTTTGCGTTGTTCGTACATAATACTTATTTTTTTTTTTTTCTTATAGCAATCAAGAAAATTCTATCGTATTTTTTAATGGTAAAAATAAAAATACTATAAATGTGCTTTTTATCTTTCTTACTTTATGAAATCATAGTGTACAAAAATCCTAAAAAGTATAATAATCAAAGGTTAACAACTGTCATTTATAAATAACTAATTTACAGTATTCAGTTAATTACTAAATTAAAAAAAAATAAAATAAGTAATTTATCATCGAGAATTGTGTAATATCATTATAAACTAAAATTTAGAATATAATAATGAAAATTTCTAAGTTTACACGGGGTGTTTGTACACAGGTCATATAAATATAATTTTTAATAGACTAATTTTTTGTTTTTTAATTTGAAATTGAATGCTACCGACAGCATACTCTTTTACTTTTTATTCTTATTATATTACAGATAAATATATGTATTTTCACCTGCTCTGCAAGTTTACTTAAGGCATTAAAGGAGGTTTTGAATGCCGTTTTTAATCTACTAATATGACCCGTGTTTAAACACCCCGTGTACAAATAGAAATTGCCTATAATAATAATTCGTTAAATTTTTCGCAAAAAATCATTAATCAGTTACAATATTAAAAATCGTAAATAATAAAAAGTAAAATTTTTCTTAATCAGCTACCTTAAAAACAAATCATGAAAAAATAAATTTTGAATTTTTTTCCTAAGAATATCAAAATAAAAATTCAACACAAAGTATGTGAACAAAGAGTACAACATAATATGATTGGTAAAAATGCAGGAAACAGAACATTATACATATAATGAAATGTTTTAAATGCTTTTTTTATGATAAATTAAAAAGATTACATGCATCAAATATTTCGTTATGACTTATAAAGTAAGACAAAAGGAAGTCAGTCAAGTAGGTGATTTATTAAGCAGAAGGAAATCAATTATATTATAAATTTGTGTAATAACATACTATTGGTAATCTTACGCAGCTACGCTACATTGAACAAAGGTACTAATACTAACTCAAGAATAAAAGTATTTCTGTTATTACAATCAATACTTCAACTTACGCTACATATGTAAAATGTTGGTTTATTATCTATAATATACTAAAATTTGTAAACTCATAACATTTAATAATTTACTAAGCATTAGCAAACTTAAAAATAATTTTGTTTCATCGTTGAAATTTCGAAATTACCTTGATATAATAATTATCATTTATCTACATCTTTTTAAAAGATTGACTTATTTAGTGAACAAATAAAATTCTTATCCCAGGTTTATCCATATATTATCTCGGATAAATCTAGGGCTCGACCCATCAGAACTGCGCCTCATGCTATACAACGGTGACGTTCCTGTTACATTGTATTACAAAATTTAGTACAACCATGTGACATCCAAAATTAGGCTTATTTACGAACTAACTCCGATACTCCGTGAAAACTTTCTTTTCCTTCCTAAATTTCCAAAGATGACTTTACTTTATTTAACGGATGATTGTATTTTTTACATTTTACAACAACTTCAAAATGATCGCTCAACTTTATTTAATTGTTTATTAGTTAATCGATTTTGGTGTAAATCAACGATTCCCTTACTTTATGCAAATCCTTTTGTAAATATAACCGAAAAAAATTACTCGATAATTTTGACCTTAATTTTCTGCTTTAATAAAGAAGAAACTTTACACTTAAAGAATGTATTAGATATAAACCAGATTAATAATATTGATTTGGACGAGGAATACAACCCATTATTTGAATATCCAAAATACTTAGAAAAATATAATTATTTTACGATAAATTCCGTAATTAATAGATGTTTACTAAAAAATTGTTTAAATTTACCAACTTCTCATATTAAAATTTTTGATATTACTCCAATATTTCATCGATCAATTTTACGTCAAAGTAGAAATATTAAACAATTAGATATTTTGTTATATTTATTTTATAAAGATAGTTTTAATAACTTTAATGTTCAAAATTTCACTTCAAATTTAACAAGATTAAATTCATTATCATTCAATTTTCATTTGGTGGGCTCTGTTTATAATGAAATTGGACAAGAATTTTTAAGCAATATAGCGAATATTTGTTTAAATTTGAGGAAACTAATAATTAAGCTTCCTCGAACTCCAAGATTTTTATCTCATCATGTCACTTCCAATAATTTAATCAATTCTACTACTTCAGAAAAATTTTGTACAATTATTCAAAATCAAAACAAACTTAAAAAATTTAAGATAATGAATTGTTACTCTTCATTAAATAATATACTTTTATCTTTAGAATTTCAAAAGAATTCCTTAGTTCATGTTGAATTTACAAGCACTAACTTTAATAATGTTAGTTTAAAGAATTTAAAAGGTTTATATAATTTAAAATATTTAAGATTTGAAAATTGTGAAGGTATATTATTAGATCAATGTGAGGTTTTAAATATTACTTCATTTAAGTTAATGAAACTATCACTTAAGCGTAATAATTGGATTGTTGATGTTACATCTTTCATGATCAAATATTTAGGTGCATCATTACAAAGATTATTGGTTGATAATCCAACAATACCTCTTATTGAAAATGTATTAATGTTTTGTTCAAAACTTATTTTTTTAAAAATAAGAATCAATTACCATTTTGATTTATCAGTGTTACCCTTTTTCAAAAATTTAAGAATAAGAATATTAAATATTAATATTACTTCTTATAATCCTAATAATATTAATGAATTTTTTATAAATTTAGCAAATAATATACCTACCAATATTAGTAATATTTCTATTTATATTTATTCTCGTAATTCAAATAAGTTTTTAAGATTTAAGGAATTTTTAGAAAATTGTCATAATGATTTCAAAATAATTAATTTAAATCACATTGTAGAATTAGAATTTCTTAAAATTGTTTTAAAATATATTGAAAGAAGTAACAATAATTTAAAAATTTTTGGTATGTTGGGATTAGATAAAGAATTTAATGATGAGGAATTAAATTTATTGAATCAAATTAAAGATAAAGGGGTTAAAATAGTGGAATATTATAGCTTTTATAATTATTTATGATACTTCATCATGTATTAAGATAATTAAGATTTTTTTGGGATTTATTTTTATTATTTACGTTTTAGAATATTTAGATGATTGTTTATTTTCTTTTACTCATTAAATAGTGATGGTAACCATCATTTATTATTACTTTCTTATTAAATAAATATAAAATGAAAACATTAAAAAAATTTTGATTTTTTTTTTGTTCTTTTAAGCGTATAAAATTAAATTATGATTCTTTTATTTTTTTTTTTTAAAAAAAAAACTCCTACATTAATAAGTATTCTATTTTTTTTAAATATTAAATATAAAAGTATTAATAATTATAATTTTTATACTATTAAAATTGGCAATAGTTTCTTCTAAAGATATCTTAATCATACTCCCTTCTCCCCCTAAGTCCATCCGGAAATTATTTTAGACGTAAGAATTCGTAGCCTGCGATGAGGTATAATCCTACATAAGTTTACAAAGTTCACGTAAATTTTCATGAGAAATTTACAAGAACTCACACAAGATTACGCATATTTACACAAATTTACGTAAGTTTACACCCTCGTCAAAGGATTACGCCTAAAAAATTTCAGCTCTATTTGACTTAAAATGTTAAAATTATGTCGTAAAGGTTAAGAAAGTAATAGAAAAATAATTTCATCACAAAAATACCATAATTATGATTTGAGATGCTCATCTTTTATACATACTATTAATAAAGAATCGATACCTGAGTAATTCTATACGTGATGTAGAGTCTCTTTCACTAGTCGAAGTGCTGAAATTACACAATAAAGGATTACGTTATAAGTTATACTTGCTTTCGTAAATAATTTCTACGGCTCCAAAATATCAAAATATCTAATTATTTTCATACCTGTTGAAGAACTTACAGTTAATGATCTTGTGAACAAGATACCAAAATTATGCTGTAGAAATCAATACATAAATACATATTTGAATAAAAAATATATCTATTAGTAAATAAATCTCTTTACCAAATAATTGTTCAAGCTGAAGAATCTTTTGCTTTAAGTTACTAACCTTTTTAAAAAAATGTAAAAAAGGATAACAAAAAAAAGAGATGCAAAATGTGCGAATTTAACAGGTAGACTCATAAGGTTGATGCGCCACTTTCATGGTTCTTTCATTCCTACAAAAATATTTTACAATAAATTTAGCATCTCACTCAGCTTGTAAATCGAAAAAAAATAAACTATAGGTAGTGTCAGTAGAATCAACAAGCTCATTTAGTAAAATTATTTACCTGAAAATAAATTTTTTTTTACATGTAATGTTGGGAATGTGATATTGTTGTTTAATTTCATACAATTGATAAATGGGTTGTATTAAATCTACCAAGATGATTATGTCTGCTAAGTCATTAATATTCTTCCCAATATACTAATCGGCATATGAATACTGTATAACATTAGGCAGTTTTATTATTATCAAATTATCAAACAACTGAAAATAAATGTATGACAAAAAAAAAATTAAACGGGTGTTACAAAAAAAAAAAAAGAATTTAGTGAAAATCGTTACCAAATTACCTGGTTTTATCCGGATGTCAAATTGCAAATCATTCGGCGACTTATAAACCCTATTACAGTTACGTACAACCATGTGACTTCCAAAATTAGGCTTATAATAACTTATTTAGTCACTCCGATACTCCGTGAAAAATTTCTTTTTCTTCCTAAATTTCTAAGATGACCTTGCCTTATTTACCAGATGATTGTATTTATCACATTTTACATCACCTTCAAAATGATCGGTCAACTTTATTTAATTGTTTATTAGTTAATCGATTTTGGTGTAAATCAACGATTCCCTTACTTTATGCAAATCCTTTTGTAAATATAACCGAAAAAAATTACTCGATTATCTTTACCCTAATTTCTTGCTTTAATAAAGAAGAAACTTTACAATTAAAGAATCAACTAGAACCAAACCAGATTGATAATATTAATTTGGATGAAGAATACAAGCCATTATTTGAATATCCAAAATATATGGAAAAATATAATTATTTTATAATAAATTCCGTAATTAATAGTTGTTTTGTAAGATATTTTTCAAATTTATCAACTTCTCATAATAAAATTTATTATATTATTCCAATATTTCATCAATCAATTTTACGTCAAAGTAAAAACATTAAACAATTAGATATTTCGTTATATTTATTTTATAGAAAATGGTTTAAAAACTTTAATGTTCAAAATTTCACTTCAAATTTAACAAGATTAAATTCATTATCATTAAATTTTTATTTAAATGGTACTGTTAATAATAAAATCGAGCAAGAATTTTTAAGCAATATAGCGAATATTTGTTTAAATTTGCGAGAATTAATAATCAAACTTCCTCAAATTCAAAGATATGTCACTTCAAATAATTTGATCAATTCTACTACTCTAAAAAAACTTTATACAATCATTCAAGAGCAAAACAAATTAAAAATATTTAAGATAAGGAATTGTTATTCTTTATTAAATAATATTCTTTTATCTTTAGAATTTCAAAAGAGTTCTTTGGTTCAACTTGAATTTACAAACACTAACTTTAGTAATGTTAGTTTAAAAAATTTTAGAAATCTATATAATTTAAAATATTTAAGATTTGAAAAATGTGAAGGTATATTATTGGATCAATGTGAGGTTTTAAATATTGTTTCATTTAAGCTAACAAAGTTATCACTTAAGCGCAATAATTGGGGTGTAGACGTTACATCTTTAATGATAAAATATTTAGGTACATCATTACAAAGCTTATTGGTTGATAATCCAACAATACCTCTTATTGAAAATATGTTGATATTTTGTTCAAATCTTATTTTTTTTAAAATAAGAATTTATTACCATCTTGATTTAACAGTATTACCTTTTTTTAAAGATTTAAATAGTATAAGAATATTAAGTATTAATGTTATTTCTTATAATTCTGAATTTTTTATAAATTTAGCAAATAATATTCCTATCAATATTAGTGAAATTTCTATTTATATTTATTTTCGTAATTCCAATAAGTTTTTAAGATTCAAGGAATTTTTAGAAAATTGTCATAATGGTTTCAAAATAATTAATTTAAATCATATTATTGAATTGGAATTTCTTAAAATTGTTTTAAATTATATTGAAAGAAGTAACGGTACTTTAAAAATTTTTGGTATGTTGGGATTGGACAAAGAATTAAATGATGAGGAATTAAAATTATTGAATCAAATTAAAGATAAAGGGGTTAAAATAGTAGATTCTTATAGCTTTCATAGTTACTATTAATAATACTGTATGTATTAATTAATTGTGTTTCTTTGGATATATTTAATTTATTTACAATTTTTTTTTTTTATTTCATTTTACTTTCTTAAATAATGATATTACCATCATTCATTATTATCTTTATATTGATTATTAAAATGGAATTTATTTATTTATTTATTTTTTTTTGGTTTTTTTTAAATGCATAAAATTAAATCATTGTAATTTGTTTATTTTTTTTAAAAAAAAAATCCTATATCAAAAGATATGTTATTTTTTTTAAAAAATGTGGAAGTTCATGAATACAGAAGTGTTAATAATTTTTATACTATTAAAATTGATAATAGTTTTTTACGATATCTTAATCTTCTCTTCTCAGTTCGACCAAAGTGTTGAAATTACGTTATAAAGAGGAAGACGACAATCAACAATATCACAAAAACACCATAGTTTTGAGTTGATAAATATTAAAATTGCTCGTATCATATCTTAGTAATTCTATTCTACTTTCAACGGTAAATTACCTTTTTTTTGAAATGGAGTTTATAGGTTCTGGGCTTTGATTTTTAGGTGGTAGCGGGTGGCAAGTTTTAAATAAAACTTTTTAAAATTGCTTTATTGGTTCAGAACTTTTTAAATGTTCCTTCTTTTTTCTGTAGGTTCAATTGATAACCTGATGAGATTGAAAACTTTCATGTATTTTTATAATTCAAATAAATTTGTGTTATTAAATAGATTGATAAAATAATAATATTACATATTTATTAGCATCTTGTTTTGGCAATGAATATTATATGGTTTTAATATCGGTATTGCATCAAAGGGTCCGATGTTCAATGTATTTTTATGGTAAACATCTACTTGCTGATGATTGTGGTATCGTTGTGGTTTTACAGTCTTTATAAAGATTTTAATTAAAGTTTTTTGTTAATAAAAATTTCGATAAATTGAACAGATGCGGATAATAGGGTGCATTGACACGTTAGGCGTATAAAATTTAAACCTTCTTTTAACAAAAAACGAATTTTTTTAAAATATTAATGACTATCAAGGTTATATTTTACTTTTGTTTAATTGAATAGTCATACACTTTATAAATTTCTTTGCGAACGTATGACGTCACAGTCAGATGATTTTCTGGTATCACAACAATTTTGGGCAATGGAAATTATGAAGATCTTTTAATGCGATATGAATATAAATATATAATTGGCGAAAATCATTACGGTACTACATTTATCCGGCTGCCAAACTGCAGACTCACTGCAGATTACAGTATTACAAAGTTTATGTACAACCAATTATCATCCAAAATTAGGTATTTAACGAAACTTGACTCCGATACTCCGAGAAAAAATTTTTTTTTTCCTTCCTCTAAATTTTTTAAATTTTCAATTTTCAAAATGACTCTACCTTATTTAACGGATGATTGTATCCTTTACATTTTACAATCATTTCAAAATAATCGTTCTACTTTATTTAATTGTTTATTAGTCAATCGATTTTGGTGTAAATCAACGATTCCATTGCTTTACGCGAATCCTTTTGCAAATATAACAGAAAAAAACTTATCGATAATCTTGACCTTAATTTTTTGCTTTAACGAAGAAGAAATTTTACAATTAAAGAATCAATTAGAATTAAACCAGATTGATAATATTAATTTGGATGAAGAATATAAACCATTATTTGAATATCCAAAATTTTTGGAAAAATATGATTTTTTTACGGTAAATTCCGTAATTAATAATTCTTTAGAAAGTTATTGTTCAGTTTCTCATGGTAAAATATATTATAGTATTCCAATATTTCATAAATCAATTTTACGACAATGTAGAAATCTTAAACAATTAGATATTTCATCACATGTTTTTGATAAACACTGGTTTAAAAACTTTAATGTTCAAAATTTCAGTTCAAATTTAACAAAATTAGATTTATTAACATTAAGTTTTTATTTAAGAGGAGAAGGAATTGAAAATGAATTTTTAAACAATATATCAAATCTTTGTTTAAATTTGAGAAAATTGATAGTTAAGTTTCCTGAAATTGTAAGAGAGATGATTCCTGATAATTTGTTCAGTGTTACTACTTTTGAAATAGTTTGTACAATTATTCAAGGGCAAAATAGACTTAAAATATTTAAGTTAGAGAATTGTTATTCTTTATTAAATAATATTCTTTTGTCTTTAGAATTTCAAAAGGATTCTTTAGTTAATATTGATTTTACAAATTCTAACTTTAAGGAGGTTAATTTTAATAGTTTTAATAATTTATATAATTTAAAATATTTAAGATTTGAAAAATGTAAAGGTTTAATTCCAGATCAATGTGAAATTTTAAAATTTGCTTCATTTAAGCTCAAGAAATTATTATTTGTAAGCAATACTTGGAACGCTGACGTCACATCATCAATGGTTAAATATTTAGGCGCATCATTACAAAGATTATTAATTGAAAATCCACCTATTGAAAATATATCAATATATTGTTTAAATCTTATTTTTTTAAAAATAACCATTGACGATCATTTTGATTCTTCAGTTGTACCATATTTTAGAAATTTAAGAACAAAAATGTTAAATTTTAATGTTCTTTTTTATGATACTAATTTTTTTCTAAGTTTAGCTAATAGTATACCTATTAATATTAAAGAAATTTCTATTTATATTTATTTTCGTAATCCAAATAAGTTTTTAAGAATTAAGGAATTTTTAGAAAATTGTCATAATAATTTTGAATTGATTAATATAGGTCTTAATCTTGATTTGAAATTACTTAAAGTTGTTTTGGATTATATTGAAAGAAGTAATAATAGTTTGAAAATTTTTGGTATGACGAAATTGGATAAAAAATTAAAACTTGAGGAATCAAAATTATTGAATATAATTAAATCAAAAGGTGTCAAAATAATGGAATTTGATAGTATACATAGTGTTTATAATGTTTGTAAAGGTTAGAAAAAATTATAGAGTTTATAGGGTTGGGTTTATTTAAGGGTGGGTTTATTATTTGGTTTTTTTTTTTACTATTTTTTATTTGTTTATATGTTTATATGTTTATATGTTTTATATGTTTATAAATAAAGCCAACATTTAAATATCAAAAACTGAAATTGTTAGTTGAATATTTTAATATATGTCGCAGTTGATAAAAAAATTTGTGTATTTTTAACGCGTTATTCCAACACGATAATTCGATAGAAAAATCTTACGGCGGATCATCAGCGGCGGCGGCATTTTCGCCGTTTCTTTAATTACAGATTCCACGATAGGGATTGGAAACGATTCAATCAAAAATCGAAACCCGAGAATCGATTTAATCGTTTCTCAGTAATTTTACAAAAAAAAAATATATTTTAAACATTTTCGTGATGCAACGCTTCCGGCGGCACAAAATTTTAGGTGGATTTTAACTAAATACTAAAATAATCTTTATTGAAAAATTTGAAAATTTTTGATTAAAAAGTAAAATGATTTTATTTTTGCACTGAATAAAAACCCTGAAAATTTATTAGCTAAAGTAATTATTATATAAAAGGTCAAAATTTGTTATCATTATAATAAAAAATCTATGTATAAATATGCAGTAAACATTTTTGGCCCGCATTATAGAATTATATTTAATTCTGGCCAAAAGATGATACATCAATAAAAGAAATTTTTTTTAATTAATTAAACATTAGCCACAATTGACTTGATTGGATAATGTTTGATTAAATTCTCAATTGTCTAATTGTCCAATATCCAATTATTATTGGTCAAAAAGCCATCACAATTTGTTGAATTTTTTGTTAATTCTGAGATTTTTTTTCATTGTGGCGTGGTTATAGAAACAGCAAGATTATATTTGCTGCGCCAAAATATAAAAAAATTCGATTTATTGGGATTCGATTTAAATCGATTTTAGTCGAATCGATTCCAATCCCTATTCCACGAAATATATTGATCTATAGATGTTGAGCAAACGTTAGGTGGTTTTTCATTCATTAGATCTTTTCTAAATTTATTGACCGTCTCAACTATCTCATCTTCTTACTCTCATCCATCGGACGCTCGTTCACTTTACTAACTACATCATCTCTCTCTTTCCCTATATTTTTCTTGCCCAAGATCAATTTTATGTACAATGCTTGTGGATCCATAGCGCTTTTCGTATTGTAAATACTGGACACCCACTTGAAATTAAGGCCTTTAGCGTTATTTTTATTTTCAAAATGCGAAGTTAAGTCTTGGAATTTGTTAAAATTTTTATCCTTTTTTCATCTTTGACCTATATCACTTAATCCCGAATACGCCTGTCTCACGCTTTCTATCTCTATCTAATCATCATCAATACAATCTTGACGTACTTCTTCATCTTTTGATACTAACCGAATTGTTGGATTTACCCTCAATGACACGTATTTCCATGCTAACATGATATAAATTCACCTCTAGGTATTAATTAGAAATAATTTTGTGTATATAAATATTATAATTTTTACTCTGGGAGCGTAATCTCTTAACCTATGTTTTCAGTGGGATCTCTAATGGCGTAGTAAAGTCATGGGATAGAATCATACAGTGTTCTTACCATGTTAGTTTTGAATATTTTTTTCGCTCGCATGAATTTTTTTAGATCCTAGTTTTATAATAATTTTTTCCTTATAAATACTTTGCATCATGAATTTTTTCACATACTCAATGGGATGTTCTCGTGATCTTTTTTAGAGATGAATTCGTTTATGATGAAACAAAATATAGTGGATTTAAATTATTTATTTCGCTACTTTTTTTGATCAATAAGAAGATTATTTCGGGTTGCTAACAAAATATGTGTATATAAATCTATATCAAAATAGTTGAAGAAGGATAATACTTATATTTAGTACAAGATAAGATTGAATTGGCTCACAGAAATTCGCTTTTTAAAATTAATTACCAATACGATATGATTAAATTTCATAGTTCTTTGTTTGCGTAATTTTATATAATTTAACGCGATATATTTTATTTATAATTGAAATTATAAGTTATTCATGACACTAGTAAAAATTATCGCGATGTAGCATTAAGTATCTTTATTTATTTTCTTGTGCTAATTTTTTCATCAATATATTTTATCAAGTTTTGACATAATTAAATTTACAGTCAAATATGTAATCACGTAAATATATTAAATTAAAAAAAATTTTGCGAATTATACACTTTATTTTTTAACTTTAAGAAGATAGTACAGTACTCTAATAACTGTATGTATCTTCCGTGTGTTTAGACCTTCATCGTTCGGGTAAAACTTGCTATATATAATAAAGTTACAAGAAATAATTTTTAGGAAAATAGTGAAAATGACTCATTATATTAATTACTGGCAACGGTATAACGACAAGAAGAATATAGATTTGAAAAAATTTATTGTTTTTTTACAATGTACCGTACCGCACTGCCTATAGTATTCCCAAAGTTAGCCCCCACGTTATAAGACCCGGGTATTTTACTAGATATAAAATTTTTACTCTCAATTAGTACCCCACCCCCTAATTCTGGTAACTTTAACTTAATTCTGATTAAAACTATTATGTATCCCCTTCATATAATACCCGGTATCTCACAAAGTACCCACGGGTATCATATAATTTTTAAATCAGGTATTTTGTATAATATCCGGGGTATTATGTGCAGTGCGGTACGGTAGTTTAAATATATAATAATATATGGTAAATGTATATGATATTATAATGATATTGCCTTATAATAAAAATTAACTTAATTCTTATTGATTTGAAATACCTCATAGTCTTCTATATTAAAATTATTTCCAGCATCTCTTATCTTTTTCTCATAATAATTTTGTTGACATATATTATAGTTAAATGTACTAAATGCACTTCCACCTATTAATTCATTATACGATAGTTTGAGATCTTTATCACCAAATGATGGACCATAATTTACATAATAATATAACGCTTTATCTATATTTTTTACGCGACTTAAAAATGGATCTTTGAAATTATCTTTACCTTTAAAAGAAAAAATAAAACTATCTAAAGATCGACTCCAACCACCAGAGGATTTCCATATTGAAGGATTATATCCGCCTAGAATCTCACCAGTTCCTTTAACTTTAATAAATGTAACAGTATTGGATTTATTATCGCATAATTCATGAAATTTATTAGGGTAAAATCCATCCCGACTTCCTCTTAATAATAATTCAAACTTGTATGGTAAATATAACTCTCTCAAATATGAAAATTTATTATTAAAATCTACTTTATCAATCCATCTCGAAATAATCGAAGTAATATTTAGATTAACAATTGTTGTAGCAATGATTCCATCGATTATTATATTTCTAGGAAGTGAAATATTACTATCATTTGGTTCAATATCAGGATCCATATAAGAATTCAACAAATTTTCATAAAATTGTTGTTTGAAAAGTTTCTTATATGGTCGAACTTTATGTAAAAATTCCTTGGGTGATAAACCATAAAATCTAATTAAAGGTAAACAATGTTGTAAAGTATTTTCTAACATTTTAAAATCATCATCTGTCCAAGTATCAGGATCTGAAATGAGATTTTCATTTTGTTTAAGACCCCATTTTAATACATGTTCCCAAACTTCAATTTCCTTCATTTGCAAATCATCTCTTTTAATAAGTGAAATTAAAGAATTTTCAGGTAACGAAGTAAAATCAAGTGATTTAAATATTTTTTCAGGTGATTTAGCCATAAAATCTATACAAAATTGTTGAATTTCCGGCAAATTATTAGATTTAATAGTTGTTCGATGTACAAGTTCAAAATGTTGCTCCATCCACTCAATTTCGTTTTCAATAAAATAGTTTTGTAAATAATTAACTAATTCTTGAAGAAGAAGCTCATCAGCAGCAATTAAAACTTTAAAAATATCTAAAGTGTCACGCTCATTCAACGAAAAGATACCACCATAAAGATAACTATATTGAATATAAGATTGTTATAAATATAATAATTAGCAAAAATAATATTTCTTTTTATATCTTTGGATTTATTAAATTTATTACATATATTACTTTACCTTAAAATAATTTGAAAGATCTCCGGTGAGATATTTGATAACTTAATATGAGCTAAGACATTATTTTTTTTAGGAGCCAAAGCTCGTCGTAAGAAAGGAGAACGATAACATAAGATAATCATATGAGCACGAAATATTTTTACGTTCGGGTCCTCACCAGCCTCAATAGTAACATCATAATACTCATTATCTTCCAATATTTCAATGTAATTTTGGCTTAACTTTGAAAAAAATTGAATAGACATTTTTCTAGTTTCAGCGAAAAAAAAAAATATTAACCACATGATCGACTTAAATCTGCAGATTAAATTTATTCAAATTATTCGTGTTACGTGTTACAAATATTGCCATTTAAAATTACATTTGGTTAGCCGGTTCTCCCCAAATCAGCAGATCTTTAAACAGGAAAATTTCAAGCAACTTGAGTACTTCTTTTTTTATTCCATTTTTTTTAGATATGAACAAGAAATGTTAAGAGAATTGATAAACGTGCGAGACGACAAGCAAAACAACAGGAGAATATTTACTTACCAACAAGATTCATCAAGCATGGGAGATTCTGTGCAGAGACAGATTATACAATTCTTTTAAGTGGACGGCATAATAACGATAATATTTCTCCGATTTACGTTACGCAAAAATATCGGTGTGTGCCGAAGGTTATCAACGCATTTTTGTTTATTTAATGGTGGAAGCTCAACCAAAGATATTGCTCTGATTGTAAGACAGTATGTTGAAGGGCTACTCAAATAATAAAAAAAATATCTAAGACGTCGCGAGTTTATTGTTTTGACTTGACAATTGAAGCTGATCCATTAGCGTTAGGGTCAGGTGAGATACACCATTGGATTTCCTAGCGAAGAATTGCCTGAGTTAATCAAGCCATTAATCGTAAATTAGACAAATTCCTA